TCAGAGTATGAAATGCTTAAAAAAGATACTTTAAGTACATGCAAATAACATTATAATTTATAACACTAGATGCATAGTTAAAATACCATGCAACTTTAATTCATAATTTTCATAAAAAAAGGAATAACAAACATAATGTTTTAATAGGATACAATGCAAATAGCCACATATAATATTATAATATTAAATTAGATTAATATCGTTTTTAAATTTTAATATTTATTAACAGTATAATTTATCATGCTTAACAGAAGCTTAAAGTAAATGCTAAATAATAGACATGTCGTAATATTGATTCATGTTTTAATAAATGTAATAATATAGTAATAAATATATAATGATACGCTACATATCTTTCAAGCTATAAATAATGCTACTTGAAAGTTAATATTACGAAATTGTTATGATTTTTATTTTTTGTTTTCAAATAATTTAAAAGTTTTACATGGGAGTTTATTTAAAAATTGCCACATATAATATTATTATAATATTAAATTAGATTAATATCGTTTTTAAATTTTAATATTTATTAACAGTATGATTTATCATGCTTAACAGAAGCTTAAAGTAAATGCAAAATAATAGACATGTCGTAATATTGATTCATGTTTTAATAAATGTAATAATATAGTAATAAATATATAATGATACGCTACATATCTTTCAAGCTATAAATAATGCTACTTGAAAGTTAATATTACGAAATTGTTATGATTTTTATTTTTTGTTTTCAAATAATTTAAAAGTTTTACATGGGAGTTTATTTAAAAATTCACTCAAAATAAATTTGCATGCAGCGCTTGCATTTTTGAGCATGGTGCATTGCTCAAATGAACTGCTTTTTGGTTTATTGTATGGACCTCCTGTAGTATAATCCGTCTCTTCCTGTGTGTCAGTGTGACACATGAAGCAGCTTTACTCTCCCGTCATGCTATGATTTCAGTAAAGTAATGTCATGTTTGTTCTCTGTGTTGTGCAGCCCAGGACAGCAGGTACTCAGGTGCTGGTATTGGGTCTGGACGGGGCAGGAAAGACCAGCTTACTGCACTGTTTTGCCACGGGCAGCCTGGAACAAGATGTGTGTCCCACTCAGGGCTTCAACGCCATCTCCATCAACAAGGAAGAGCTTCAGATCGAGTTCTTAGAGAGTAAATACAGCTCATTTACACACACATATTGTGATTACTGTAGATCAAAAAGCAGCATGGTGCTTGCAGCGCCAAACTCATACAGTAGGTTTGAATCCAAAGGGAATGCATGCATTGATGAAATAAATGCACGCAAGTCGCTTTGGAAAAAATGTTAGTACCACCAAAAAATTTTTAAATGTAATAATATAAAAACATTTAAAATTAGGTATCTTGTTTTCATTTTAATTTGAAAGTTTTTGTCATTTTGCTGTGTTTGTCATTTTTATTTTTGTTATTTAAAAAAATGTCTATGTAGTCTTTATTAAGTTTTAGATTTTAGTTTAATTTAGAATAGTTATATTACTACTTAATGGAAGCTTGTTTCCACCACAGGGAAAAAATAAATAAATAAATACATAAAAATAATTTTTATCTCACAATTCAGACTTCTTTTTTCCTCACAATTCTGAGAAGAAAACTGTAAGATATAAACTCGCTATTGCAAGTAAAAAAGTCAGAATTTTTTATTCGGTGGCAGAAACAAAAAAACATAATTGCGAGATATCAATAAAAAATTCAGAGAAAAAAGTCAGAATTGTGAGATGTGAACTCTGAGTTGCAGGAACATCAGAATTCTGAAGTCATGTAGAATTGCAAAATATAAATGCGCAATTCTGAGCAGAAGAGTCCAAACTGTAAGATATAAACTCGCTATTGCAAGTAAAAAAGTCAGAATTTTTTATTCGGTGGCAGAAACAAAAAAACATAATTGCGAGATATCAATAAAAAATTCAGAGAAAAAAGTCAGAATTGTGAGATGTGAACTCTGAGTTGCAGGAACATCAGAATTCTGAAGTCATGTAGAATTGCAAAATATAAATGCGCAATTCTGAGCAGAAGAGTCCAAACTGTAAGATATAACCTCGAAAAAGTCTGAGTTGCGTGGTAAAAAGTCACAGTTACCTTTTTTTATTCCTTTTTGGGAAAAAAACAATTGCAAGATGTAAACTCAGAATTCTGAGGAATAAAATCTATTAAACCCGAGTTTATATCTCACACTTCTGGGAAAAAAAGGAAACGGGCTTCCATGGTACTTCAACTTAAACTTAAATGAGAAATGGTGAGAAACTAGCTGAAATAAAGTACTTCATTTTATTTCAGTTAATGTTTACTATTATTTTAAGTAAGTATATTTTAAGTTTAAAGTTTTATTTTTAGGCCCCGTCCACACGGAGACGTGTTTAGCTGTATACGCATACATTTTGCATCGTATAGGCGTTTCGTCCAGATGGATCCGGCGTTTTGGGAGAGTGAAACCGATATTTTTTGAAACCGGGTCCCAGAGTGGATAGGGAAAGCTCTGGCTTCGTGTGGACGTAGCCTTAAGTTGACAAAAATAACCCTGGCTTGAAGTGAATAGTGTAAAAGTGTCTTTTGTGCTTTCTCTGTCATGCAGTTGGAGGTACAGAGAAGCTGCGCGATTACTGGCGGATGTATTTGTGTAAAGCGCATGTGTTGGTGTTCGTGGTGGACTCGTCTGACCCCGAGCGATTCCCTCTGGCTAAACGTCTCGTGCACCAGCTCCTGTCGGCCGACCCCTGCCTGCCTCTAGTGCTGCTCGCCAACAAGCAGGTGAGAGCGTCTGCTGCATGCGCTCTGTAATCCTCTCTCAGCACGATCCGTCTGATGGAGTGCGTGTCAGGACCATCTGGACGGTCAGACATGAGGTTAAGGTGCTGAGGCAGTGCAGCTTTTCCTGTTGACGCGCCGGATGTTCTTGCAAACACATCTGGTGTGACAGACGGGCCTTAAAGTCAACATGAAATCAAATTGGCCCATGAATACAAGTTCCTGCATAGGGGTGTGTGATATTGACAAAAAATAATATTTTCTGGCATTTTGTCGATAATAATAGTTAGACAACATTTTGCTGAGTGTGTTTTTGTGCTGGTACCTTGACTGATTTTGGCCTGTTGTTGACATATTCTGTGCAGTGGTTAGTTCACAGTAGTGACAGAAATTAACGAGAGATATATTAATACTTAAATTAATAGGCTACCCAAAAATGAAAATTTGCTGAAAGTTTATTCACCCTCAGGCCATCCAAGATGCAGATGAGTTTGTTTCTTTATCAGAACAGATTTGGAGAAATGTAGCATTACATCTCATTACATTGCTCACTAATGGATCCTCTGCAGTGAATGGGTGCCAAAGAGTCCAAACAGCTGATAATAACATCACAATAATCCACACCACTCCAGTCCATCAATTAATGCTTTGTGAAGTGAAAAACTGCATGTTTGTAAAAAAATAAAAATAAAAATCCATCAGGACATATTTAACTTTAAAACATGGCTTCTGGCTATGAGTCCATAATCCCTAATAATGCTTCCTCCAGTGAAATATGGAATCTAGATGAAAACTCATACAGGGGCCTTTTCACCCCCATATATTGAGTTTTGGGGTCATTCTAATAGGCTCCATGATGCAAAAATGTGCATTATCAAGGCCTGTTTTTGCAAAGTGAATGACATACTCAGCTTCTACACTGTTAAAACAATAATTACAGTATTATCATAGACAATACATGTGGCACACCCCTATTCCTGTTCTTTTTGGACTAATTCATTAGTGCATGTTTTTCTGTTATTAGAAACATGGTCCTGTGTCAGGATCTCACACATGCTTCGCTCTCTCTCACGCAGGACGTCCCCGGGGCCCGTGGGATCACTGATCTTTACGAGGCACTGGATTTGGGTAATGTTGGCGACGGGCACCGGCTCAGTGTGATTGGTACTCAGGTGAAGAAGGGAAAGTCTGAGGCCAACGCCGGTGTGCAAGATGCTCGTGACCTCATCATAGAGATGATTGACCACCAACTATGTATCTTAAAATAGTTTCCTTTGGTCCCAATTATGTAGGGCTTTACGGTTGACAACAAAACAGCCTGTTTTTGTAGTAGAAGAGAGACTAGTTGAAATCATTTTAATGACACTAAAACATTATGATTGCTATAATTGAGAATGAAAACTGAGCATTTTGAAAAAGATGCCAAAGATAATCATGTCTTTCAGTGTATTGCTGCTGCTGTTGTAATTGTGGATTATGGGATGTTTGATTATGCGTTAACTGATACAGAGTCTTGTATGAAGCCTGTGTGTTTGTGCTGTTTTTGCTAGATGATAAAATGCTTTAATTGGTTTATACTGTAACTTGCTGACTTGTCAGTAAGAATAGTCTATAATCCAAATGTCTGTATATTATTTTTGTAACTTGACCTTTCTGTCTTTAAATGGCTTTTTATTGCCAGAAATCAAGTGAAGATTTGGTTGGTGATTGTCTTTTGATAACCATTAAATAGTAATTGAAATGCCTGAATCATGTTTGTCATTTTTGTAACAAAAATCCCCTAATGTTATTTTTTAGAATCAATGACATCATGTTTAGAATCTTTAGAATCCGCTTGTTAAGTGGTGACGTAAGAAGCGCTGTTTCCGGGTCCAAGCCTCAACTCGCTTCACTTGAGAATACTACCTCAGTAGCCGTTTATGACACTGTTTATTCATATTAAACATTTAAGCTAAACGTTTTCAAACTTACGGTGTACACTACAGTCTCCATGCTCACAGCATCCCAAACACAAATTATTTATTTATTTATTTATATTTTCATTGTCTGGCTATCTGGGATTTCGGTATGGAGTTAAAGGTTAGGATTCAAAACTAATTTTAGCTCTTCTTTGAAGACAGAGCAGGACCATGTGACTTTGGTTGCCATAGTAACAGCTTCCTTAGCAACAGGCGGTCTCTATTGTGACATTCAGTAAGCTTTTAGCTTCCCAGGATTCCTTTGGGTCTGTACCTGGACAGAATGGACTCGGGTAAAGTCTGCATTTAGAACAAAACCTAAATGGTCTCATGTTATTTTTATTGAAAAATAGATTAACATGATTTTTTTGTTTGTTTTCTGTTCCTGAAAGAGTCTGAATTAAAGTCATTCCATCTGGATAGGTATGTATTGCAGAAAAACAAAATTTGAGTTTTCTTTTCATTTCTTTATAATTTCTATTTTTAAGAAACTGATAACATGTTTGCTTGTAGGATTTCATTTCTAGCTCAACCAAAGGAGTCCAAGACAGTTTGGGCCACAACACCTTGGTAAAACTTCTTTTGCATGTACTTTAACTTGATTATAACCTAAAACTATGGCGTCAACCATGAGTACAAATATACCTGAGGCTTATATTTTTCAGCACTACCCAAATATCCAAAAACAAACAAACATAAAACAGTTGTTTCATCCCTTGGTCAAGCTGACTTATCTGTTGTGCTTGTGTTCTGGGATTCAGGATACTGACATGGGGAAACCAGGAATCGATACGGCCGCTGTCCCGCTCAGCACTGCAAGCCAACCCGAGCCCCAGAATAAAGGCACTGGCCCAGCCTAAGAGAGACTTCTCCCTCCAGATTCAGCTCAGGTAGCAGGAGACAGCACAGATGTCTTAAAACTTCCATTTTATTTAGTTCTCGTGCACTACTGTTCAAATGTTTGGGGTTAGTACGATATTTTTGAATGTAGGAAATGAATAGCCTACTTAAACCTAAATTAGATCATAAAATATATTCAAATCAGTGGCAACTCCAGGATTTTTGGTTGGAGATTTTGTTGTAGTCAATGGGGGGTTTAACAGCTAAGAGGGGGTGTTAATAAAATAATCCAACTGTATAGCTAAAGAATGCCTAAACCGCAGATCAGTCAACATGCCATTACAGCACAGCTTCTTAAAACATGCCACACCACTGTTAAATGCATCAACAACCTCAATATCATGCATTTATTGCATTTTATTTGTTTAATTTACCTTAAAATATACATTCACAGGGTCACATTAAGTGTGCAGTTATTAGAAATTAAACATATGTCGACTAACAGTTCCACCTGGTCAAAGACATGATGTTTACAACGAAAATATCCTTTTTTATTTTCATCACCACTAGGCTAACAAAGCGAACAATGTTAAAGAATTTATATTCAAATATCCTATTATATGACATTATAACGTGAGTTCGCAGGGGTTTAAACCTCCAAAGCAGCTACTTACCAATAGCAAATTACAAGAGGACAATACATATGTTGTTATCTTCTGAGATGTATCTTAAGTCCACAGTCTTTTGTTTACTATTATATAGCGCTCTATGTTTGCTGTTGATGATGAATTATGATGTTTGTTAAGCACCTGAGTGCAGCCTTATTGACTCCCCCAATTAAGGTAATTGTTTTTACATTTAGACATATTTAAATATACACACGTAAACCTTATTACTATTTTGTTAGGTTTTCCGTTTTTCTTTTTCTTTCTTTTGTTTCCTTTTCAAGTTCACTTTTAAAAACCAGAAATCCTTGAGGGGGCGGGGCACGTGGATGATATGCAAATTAGCCCAGGCAAGCCCCGCCTTAATGCTGCAACTGATTCAAACAGAAATAGCTATTTTAAATTGTAATAACATTTCACAATATTGCAGATTTTACTGTATTTTTGATCAAATAAATGCAACTTTGGTAAACATAAGGAACTTATTAAATTTTTTTTTTAAATCTTACCAACCCCAAATTTTTGAATGGCACTGTATATGAAGGCAGTTGTGTGAGCTCAGGTTTCGCTGTTTCAGCTTATACGGAAGGAACGTTTAGGTTAATAATGAATGAGCTGAGGTCAGCATTCAGAATCAAGCATGTGATGACTGCTAGTTTGCCCTATACCTTTTAGTGGAAATGAGAAAGCAATCCACGATTCCTGCTGTTCATTTTTGGATGCAAGTGTACAGGTCATACGCCTGAGTCCTATGAATTAGCAGATTGAGTCTGATGCCAAAGAGATTTTTTTTTTTGTCAAATAAGTTTTTATTCAGTCATCGAATAACCTTGAAATAATCACAAATGTCAGGATTAATTTTCTTATATGCACAAAATACAAACTTGTAAAAAATTATATAAAATAAAATAAATAAATAATAATAAAGTAACCCCTTCCCCAGGCTGTTAATATACAATACAGTGACATAAACACACAACATTTAAATTACAATACATTGCTTTAAGGAATAGAATTCCTATCGAGGTAAAAGAAGAAAGGGTCCTAAATCTTGTGAAATTGTCCAATATTGCCTTTTAAGATATATCTGGTTCGTTCCAGGTGTATAGAGTAGATATCAGTTCCTCAAGCCATAGTTTGGCAGCAGGAGGATCAAACTTTTTCCAGAACAGTAATAACAGTTTCTTATTATTATTATTCCACTGACTCCACGAAGGAGCATAGGGCCTCAACAACAATTTTCCAGCGGACTCAATTTTGGGCGACTCTCATCAGCTGGGCCTACGACCAGTGTTGGGGGTAACGCATTACAAGTAACGCGAGTTACGTAATCAGATTACTTTTTTCAAGTAACTAGTAAAGTAACGCATTACTTTTTAATTTACAAGAGAATATCTGAGTTACTTTTTCAAACAGATTTAAAAAGTAACGCAAAAGTAACGTAACGCATTACTTTCAATAAAAAGTAACTAAGTAATGTAATTAGTTACTTTTTTATGGAGTAACGCAATATTGTAATGCATTACTTTTAAAAAAGTAACTGTCTCCAACACTGCCCACGACCATCCGGCTGCCTTCATCTCTGCTTCCGTGCATCGTCTCCAAGTCTGTTTTGGCCTACCCACTCTTCTCTTTCCTTGTGGGTTCCACTCCAGTGTCTGTTTGGTGACGTTTTCAGGGTTCTTGCAGAGAGTGTGACCTATCCAGCCCCGTTTCCTCTTTCGTATTTCTTGGCCAACAGGCAGCTGATTTGTTTCCTCCCACAAACTGGAGTTTGAGATCCAGGCTCTCTGAGGAAGCAAAGAAAGTTGGCCTCAAAATAAACACCAAGAAAACAAAAACCTTGAGGATTAACCACAAACAACAGGACCAGAATAACAGTTTCTTAGCTGTTATCAAACAATATGTAAGGAATTTCTGTTGTGCTCTGTTCAATGAATATGTATAATCAGAATGTCCTAATATAATGAGCACTGGGTCTGGTTCCAAGTTTACATTAAGGACATCTGAAAGCGTTTTTTTTTTTAAACTTCACAACAGAATCCCTGTATTTTATGACAGAAAAAAAAACTATGAGCTAAGTCAGCATCCTCAGATTTGAACTTGTCACAAAGAGGAGAAACATTGGGAAAAATCCTATGTAATTTCTTGTTTGAAAAGTGTAATCTATGTAAGACCTTAAATTGAATAAGGCATAATCTAGTATTGACCGATTATTTATCAATATCCTCCAAACCACTCTGCCAAATCTGAGATTCCAATTCCAATCTCTCACGCCCATTCCTCTCTGATCAAGTTTGTAGAGGGGGAAATAGCTTTTAGTAACCTTCCATAAATTAAAGATAGCTGACTCTTATTTCCCCTGAACTGTAAACAGTCATCAATAATCGTCTAGGGAAACATTATGTGCACGCAAATAATTAATTATTTGTAAAAATCTGAAAAAATGGACATTATTGGACAATGTTTTTTTTTTGTGAGGTTGTATTTCTGTTGTAGTTGCATAAAGGAAGCTAAAGGCCCATCAAGATAAAGGTCCTTGACTGTGCATATACCCAATTCCTTCCATTAAAGGTTGTATCCAACATTGAAGGGGGGGATTGAGGGGTTATTTGCAATTGGAATTAAGAGAGAGAGTGAATTTATCTTATGGTATTCTCTTATCTGTCTCCAAACATAACTGACTCTTTATGACAATACTATTAACTACTGTTTGGTCTAATATTACTGGGGAAAGTAGCACTGCTCCAAGATCATAAGGATGGCAGTAATCAGTGATCATAAGGATGGCAGTAATCCCGCTCTATCTGAAGCCAATCTGGGGCACTAGCTGGCTGTTCCAACCATAGTGCAAAAACTTGTAAATGAATGGCCCAATAATAAAGGCAAAAATCCAGAAGGGCCAAACCACCCTCATGTTTGGTTTTACAAAAATGAACATTTTTTATTCTGTGACCCTTATAATTCCATAGAAAGGGAAGAATAATCGAGTCTAGGTGTTTAAAGAAGGACTTGGGCAGTAATATTAGAATGTTATGAAGTAAATATAATATAAATATGGAAATATAATTTTCATCGCATTTATTCTACCAATTAAGGAGATTGGGAGAGTTCTCCAATAGTGTATACAGGTGCATCTCAATAAATTAGAATGTCGTGGAAAAGTTCATTTATTTCAGTAATTCTTGTAACTTAGACAATTAGGGGTTGAAATTAGCTTTGAAGAGCAAAGAACCGAAGAGATTTCATGAGATAATGGATAAAATTAATTTGCTTCTCCGATTCCAGCTGGCAAGAATGTTTCCAACCCCGTTCTCCACCAGAGAGCATAAAAATCGCTCTTATAAAAGTGCTGAGAAATATGAGTTTGATTAGCATAAACACACTCCAAATCCTAGTTTCACTTGTTCCTAGCTAGCATCCTGTAACACTCGTCCTATTGTCTTATTTGAAAAGGCGGATTTTCTCTCGGATGTCAGACGTTCCTTCTGCAATCTTCCTGCAGGAAAGAGGAAGAGGAGGAGGAGGAGAGGAGAAGGATGAAGATATCCCGCCCTTCCTCTCATGCAGTGCAGTACGAGAGCATTGTCCATCTAGCGACTCCCAAAACCCGAGGAAGAAGCCCCCAGGAAGTGAAGTAAGTCAAATGGTCAAATGAGAACCTGAATACATTTATGAGATCTTTCCAGAACTAAAATTAGCTCCTGCTGAGGAGGAAGCCAAAATTCAACATCTGTTTTTTCAGTAGCGCTGTGTGTGTGTGTGTGTGTGTGTGTGTGTGTGTGTGTGTGTGTGTGTGTGAGAGAGAGAGAAGATGCTGTCAGACAATAGACGACTGGTGTGTAACCCCTGGCAAGTCTTGTGTTTGACCACAGAGGTCTTTTTAAATTCTTAAATCACAATCTCAGATCTGGGCCCAATTTCTTCTCCAAGCTGTTTTGCAGACTAACATATTGAGTCAGTTTTGCTGTCATATAATTTTGTTTGTGAAGACTTCATGTCACTTATATTTTGTGAGAATTCTGTGGTAAATAAATAATCTGCACGCAGGCCATTATGTTCATCTCTGGATTCAGCTGAACAATTTTTTTTGCAACCTGTGGATTTTTGTTACATAACATCTTGAGAACATGTGCGCTGCAAACCAGAAGAAAGCTTTGATTCTTATCAAACCAAAAGCAGCAGATGATTTTTGCAGGTCTTGGTATAGATAAGATGCCATATTAGAAAAGAAAGTGTGAGATATCAGCAGAGTTATCGTTAACTAAAACCTTAAAAAACATTTCCATTACTTCAAATAAACATTAATTGAAATAAAATAAAAATATGAAACTTAAACTTATTTTATTTCAGCTAATTGCCAAGGCAACATTTCTAGTTTTTGTTTATTTCAATTTGAATTAAAACAACTAAATCTAAATAATCTTATATATATATATATATATATATATATATATATATACA